CCCCAAAACCCCAAAACCCCAAAACCCCTTGAGGGGAGAAAGCTGTTGAATGGAGGATTTTTATGGAGGACTCAAGGGGTTTTGGGGGAATGGGATAAAAGGAATGGAGGGAGTGAGGGTTGGAGGGATAAGAGGATGTTTTTATGGTGGTTTTTGGAGAATGCTGAGTTGAGAAAAGGAAGATGGGAAATATTAGAGGAAATGCTTATTTTGGAGTTTTTAATGGTTGGCTTTTTGGATCTTGAAGTTGGCAAGAAGACAAGGTGCAGTGTCAAGCTTTTTCTTTGATGAATGCTATATTATCTTAGCAGCTCTATACTTTCTAAGACTATTCAAAATAACTCTTTTGAGTGTAAATTTACTCAACTGGATGATGATTTAGTTAAAATTTTAAGAGAAGCTACCTGAAATAGTTTAGAACTTTAACATAAGTATCCATATCAAAGTTGATACAAATATCTTAAAAAGTGATTCCAAACAATTCAGTAGACATCTTCACAACATCATTCCAAGTCAAATGGGATATTTCAGGATAAATAACCCTAACCTCCCAGACTGTAGGAGATGTCAAAAATCCTTTATCTCATAAATTAATATTTCCTGTGCCAAAAGACATCCCAGATAAAACTTAAAGCATAGGTATTAACTAAACCTAAGGTCTGAATTATACAACAGAGAAATTCAACTCGTGGAAAGCTCTCTTTTAAAATATATAAGTCCCAAGACAAAGAATAAAGAAAATTTGAGATTTTTAATCAAAACAAATATGACTCAGAGTACGCTCTGTATGGCCCAAGATGTGTGATAACATATTTAAGTCGTACGAAAGTGTTGTTAATCAGAAATTATCATACCTTCCTCCATGATCTTCAAGTTATTACTCAAATTTATGAAATGGGTAAAATTTATCATATCAGAACGAAAGCCAAAGGATCATATTTTAATCTATATCCTTACATGAACAAGCCTCATTTATAGCTAAACTCTTTGTTAATCTTAGAATCTGAGGTTAAAAATGTTCCTTGAGTTTGAATAAACTCACAGAAATTTTAGCCATTAAGAAATAAATTTAAAAATGAGGGATCAAAGATCTACATTTTGGGAGGAGAACAATGAAGAAATTTATAACTGTATGTGATTTTTCTCAGTGAGAAATAACTTGTTGGAGTAGTGATTATGTCCAGATGAAGGATCCTTCAAAGAGTATCCTCCTACTCTAAATATGCATATAGTAATGCCTGTAAGAGTTCACCTAATTTTGATAACAAACTTCTCAGGTTACTTTATTTAAGACCTTAAAATCTGAATTTTTGTATGAATTTCAGAATCTTGAATAATCTTGAACCCTGGTTATCATGATATCATTCAGAATTTAAACCAATTTAGATCATATCCTCAAGAAAGTAATCAGAACCTAAATTATTTGTGTCATAATTAAGTTTTACTTTTTTCAAAAACGTAAAATGCTCAAGAATATCAAGCATGAGCTCTTGAAATTTTTAATAATATCCAGAAAAACAAAATTAAGTTTAGTTGAGCAAAAAATTTATTACTTTCAAAGAAAAATTGCTAAAATTGTTTCAAAAGTTTTCCCTCTTTGTAAAAATAATTGTGTATCCAGGAGAATCAAAAGGAGACCTAGTATAAGACGTCCCAAAAGGGGAAGCTCTCAGGAAAAAAGATACACGACATTTTTTATAAATATGGGATAAAAAAATTAAATGAAGTGTCGGTAGCCTTAACAGACGCTCCTATAGATTTTTCATATGCTCAGATTTTGCTAAAAAAATCCTTAACTATGCAAAGAAATTAATATATAAAAGGTAAAGATTATTCAATATTAATAATTAAAATGGAAACATTTGCTAATCTCCAAAGCTATGATCAAACGTTCTTAACTATGTGAGATTATGATAGTCTCATTCAGTACTTTCAGACAATGTACTGAGTATGTTCCCTTGACCAAATGGTCTTTCAGACCCAGAATTATCCCTATTTGTCTTTTGGAATGTTCAAAACAGATTTGGTGAGGCCTGAGGCAATGCATTTTAAGAAGTAAGAAACCTCATAGCTTTATTAAAAGTTTAGCTTTGCTCCTTAGCTTATATGTTTTATAGGGATCAATTTCAGAGCAAAAATCAAAGCCTGATTGTCCAAAACTATCTTCAGTCAAAAAGAGTAAAAGCTGGCATTTTGGATAAGACATTTCATCTTGAGCTCACTCTCAACCAGAATTCATTAGAAGAGAATAAAGAAGCTACTAATCGCGAAAGAGGAATAACCAAGAGAGGAGGACGAGGTTCTAAATTAAACATAAATCCAGGGCTTATTAGGCTGAGACAACGTCTCCTTGATCATAAGATCTTAGGGTTCACAAGGAAATTGAAAAAGACTAGGTATACCTCTGATAAGTACCTTGGAAGGAGATCTCAGTACATTGGAGTTTCCAAGAACAACATTCATTGGCAAGCTTTGATCAATGTTAACTATGCCAAAAAGTACATTGGTACTTTCTTAGATGAAATAGAAGCTGCAAGAACATATGATTTGTATGCACTAGCAATGCAAGGTGAAAGTGCTTCATTAAACTTTGACTATACCCCTCAAGAAATGCTTGAGGCAATTGAGCATTATCTTCAACACAAATATGCCAAAGTTTATTGTTAAATTTTCTTCTGGCTATCCACTACCTACATTTCATTGAGAACCAAGCCTTGAAAGCTTCGATGAATATCAGCATATTTAATCGTAATTCTTCAATTCCAATAAGTTATTGAGGGGTTTTGGGGTTTTGGGGTTTTGGGGTTTTGGGG